AAAAAAAAAAAAAAAAAAAAAAAAAAAAAAAAAAAAAAAAAAAAAAAAAAAAAAACCTGTATTTTATATCCCCAAAACAGAACACGTCCTGTAACTGTGTAGAATTAGCAAGGAATAAATCAAACTATACCTATACTGAACAGCTTCCATACACTGACAGCAGCACATTAAGTATTTCTACTTCTCTCATACAATGGAGGGAATCAATAAAGCTTGCACCTATTTAACAAAATTAAAAGATTCCCATTCCTTTTTTAGATATCCTGCAAGAATCTTTTGCTTTAATTTTCTCCCATCCTGTTTTGAGTATACCTCTGGTGTTCACTTTAACTAGATTTTACTCTTTTCATCCAAGTATGGTAAGGGGGCAAGTTTGTGATTTACCCTAGTACAACAGCACCAAATACGCCTTCAAAAAATTACTCCAGGTTAGATGCAGTGGCTCACACCTGTAATCTCAACACTTTGGGGTGTCAAGGCAGGAGAATCACTTGAGCCCAGAAGTTCAAGACCAGCCTCTAGACAACATAGCGAGACCCTGTCTCTACAAAAAATAGAAATATTTTAAAGTAAAATTAACCCCCAGCTTGAAATCTATCAGAGCAACTCTAAAATGGTTACCAAAACATTTTGCTGTAGTGAGTAAAACAGTATGGGTTGTTAAAATTCTTACTCTTTAGCTATCCACATCTTTATTAACCTCTACACCATTCCTGTGAATAATACAGAATTCTTCCCTTCTTACCATCAGGAACACATTAAAGTCCCCAAAATCTAGCTGGACTTTGAGTCACTATTGTAAATGGGGACAGACTTAGACAGTTCCTGATTGGATGTAGAGTTTAAACAGATTTCCCTGCTTTCTCAGGTCAAAAAGCCTACCCCTCCAGTGAGACAGCATTTTAATACTGTGTCATATCTCTTATGGTTTGACTCTTGAAATTTTAATCAGATAAAAAGTCTAAATAGAATACAATCCAAAAATGTCACAAACCCAAGAAATATGTCAAATGACAGAAAATGCTTACTAAATTGTAATAATCTAAGAAAAAGGACTTTTTAATATGTTATCTTGTTGATAATCACTAAAACAAGCCACCTTCATTTTAAACTTCAGCTGCTCTTTCCAAGAATCCAAAATGTTCAAATCAGCCCAAGTTAATTAGAAACTCAAATTCCATTAGTTTACAAATAACTGAGGTGGTCCCCCTTGGGAAACACCAAGATGCACACACAAAACGCTGAGTCCAAATACTTCCAGAGGCTATACACATCAACTAAACTTAAACGGGTTTATTTCCTAGTCTTTGTAATGAATCCAAGTGGACCTCACACCTCTTACCATCACCCAGGAAGGGT